CACACACACACACACACACACACACAAGCAGGGATAACGAGGGACAGCAATACAAAATATATATTATAATATTAGTCCATAACTGCTCAGGGATCCTGGGTCGCTCAGACAATATCTAAAAAATATACACTTATCAAATACTTCATTTTTTACACTGTGCTACAACCTTGTGTTGTCAGCTAGGTGAATTTAGAGTTCACCCAGCACCTCGTAGGTTTGAAGCATGAATTCTGTAAACCCTCCAAAATAAGTGACACAATTACCAGAATAACCAGAATACGACACATGAGTTGTGCTTGCAACATGTTGGCAATGTAAATGCATTTGTCTGTGCAATTGCCTTGTGATTGAACGACTGTTTTACGCTCAACATCTTGATGACCAGCGGGTTGCTGCAACTACATGCAGTTGGTTGATGAAAGCAAAAAAAGTTCAACACATTCACTGGTCAACCACCTATTTTTTTCCATTGTTGCATGGAGGATTCCATCCTTGTATTGTCCGTGTTTTTATATTTAACAGTTATAACCGCTCACTTCAACCAGAGGGTTCAAGTGAAGTGAACCCTCTGGTTACAGATGAGTTGTCCTTAGTGAAATGCTAAAAAAATCTTCTGAACTGGCTGCAGGTGGTGACAGCAGGTCTCTGAAGGCTGATTGCAGCTAAATCTGTAAGCACAGTAAAAAAGTGGTTTAGGACAAAGATGATAGGCTTATTTGATCACTTTGATGCCACTGATGGAGAGAATAGAAAAGCATCCTGACGTTTAACCGTCTGTGATGGCGTTGCACCTCCATCCTGATGTCACAAGGTCATACATGTAGCTGAAGGTCATGCATTTATATTGTCACCAGTGCAGTCAGGATACATGTATCACCTGGGCCGGTTCATTCTGGCGTAACAAAGCCTCGCTAATGATGTTTGTGTCCAGACCTAACTGGATCTCCTGATGTGCGGCACTCAGTGCTGCCTTTAATGAGATCTGACTCGCCCGTGCGTCTGGGGGTCCGTGTGATGCTGCACCTGAACCTGTCACTATGGCAACCAACAGGTTGCGTTTCTACAGTGACACAACCCCTCTGTCTCCTTCACTCCGGCTTCTTTGCCTCTGTGTCTCTCATCTGCATTGTTTGTAGAAGTGTTTTTTTGTCAGATGCTAAATACTGACACAGTACAGATGTTTTTTCTGCATTGTACCCAGCGAAGGTTTCAGCTGGAGCCAAGATGTGTTCTAACTGTACAACTAAGATGTTTGTGAATGTGGACATTAGTAATTTGTTTTTATTTTTAACAACTAGTTAATGTAATTTGTGGTCGTTTTCAAAAAAGTAACATATATCACACGTTACTTAATAACTAATCTAAAAATTATTTATTATGTTTTTTTTTCTCTACTCACCAAGAGGACCTGAAATGTTTTATAATTATGAGTGAAAAGCATAAAGATTAATCTTAGGCTAACTTCAGTCTCTTAGTCCTACACACTGACAGGATTCCTTATTTTGAAACACATGAAAAACTCTGTCAGTGTAGAAAAGTAAAAAGTCAGATGTCACGTCGATTTTATTGTAGAAATAGATACAGATAGAAATTGAGAGTTGAAGTTGGACTGCTTTTTTTGGCACTTATTCTGTTCCCTGTGAAATATTTGGCTCATACATTCATCTGTAACATCACTCTACATTCTTTGCTGCTGGCTTTGTGTTCACCTGCTGATTTTGCAGATGTTTTGCAAAGAGGTGATGTCCTGTTAGCATTAGAGGATAGTTGTGTTGCTTCTGGCCTGGACCCAGGTTTCACTTAACTGTCACTTCTGAATATTTTTTTACCTCAGAATAAGTGAAAGCGGGTGTGAATAAATTATTACCATTTCTTACAACATGACAACCTACTACATTAGATTTAAGGCTAAAAACAGCTTAAGTAGTCACGTTTTGATATTTAAAAATGCGTATTTGTTTTCTAGTCTCTCCAGAGGTGCTGGGGTTTCTGACAGCCATCGGACTCTTCATCATCCTCATGACTTTCCTGTTTTGGTACCTCAACAATAAGTTGGCACTAGAGAACCCAGGAAGCCTTCAGTGCCTTGATGAATTCAGGAAAACCACTGAGCTGCAAGGTGAGCATGCATAAATTTAAAATGAAAGCACATTCGGTTGTCTTTCTTTCACATCTGATTTTCTTTAGTGCCTTTGATCCCAGCACGAGGCCCGGCCTCTGCATGGAGGCATTTTCCACTGACACTGGCCTTTCTCAGCCCATGCCGGGATTACTGTTACTGACAGCTGTAGGACTGTTTACTTGTCATCTGCCCACGGGGGCTTCAAAGGTTTAAAAGGTTGGTGCCCCCCGGGAGCCCACACGGGGAGTTTGCTCGACTCAGAGAAGCCATCTGCAGAAAACAAAGGGAGACAGTGTAACGCAGCAAAGTGACTAATCTCAATGACCTTCTGTGTGGACAGATCTGGAACAGTGGCTGTTTTGACAGACACATGAGACAAATATTTGAGTTCGAACTGTTGAAAAAACAGTTTACAGTTTCCTGATTCTGTTTGTTAAAGATGTATGTATTGAAGACTGCATGTTGTAAGTGGGAATGTATGTTGAGTTAGTGGGAAGGTTTGCAGAGCAACCACGGATTGGGTTATTTTAAAAGCTGTGCTGCCTCCTGCTGGAAAAAATACAAAGCTACAGTGAGAGAAAACTAGCTTCCTGACTTCGCTTACTGCTCTGATCAGCAACATTTTTATTCTCTGCTTTATTGTGTTTCTTTCCCTAATTTTAATTATCCCCTCACTGAGCATCTGCATCACATTGAGAAATACCTTCTTCTAATTGAGAGGACGTGTAACTAACTATAGTCTTTAAGTGACCACTTAGAGCAGGGATGTCCAACTCCAGGCCTCAAGGGCTGGTGTCCTGCAGGCTTTAGATATCACACCTAAATCAAATGATTAGGTCATTATCAGACCTTTGGAGAACTTCAAGACATGTTTAGAAGGTAATTTGGCCATTTAAATGAGCTGTGTTGGATCAAGGACACATCTGAAACCTGCAGGACACCGGCCTGACTTAGAGTTTGAATATTTAAGGATGGCAAAGATTAAAAAAAAGTCTTTTATGTTTTCCATGAATAGTTGTCAGCTGTGTAACAACTGTGCACAGAGCACCATGGCAGCTTCAGTATTGGAAATAATCTTCATTACTGTTTAAACAGCCTCCACTGTGACTTCAGGTTGCTGCACACGTTCAAAGTTTAGACTATTGAAAGTCTTGGTTCACTCAATCTCAATCTGTCCTCCGTGTGGAATCACACGTTTGCCTGTTTAAGGGTCTCTTAAATGGTATTGTGAAAACGCAGCAGCTTTTATTGAGATGCCCTCGCCTTCCTGCAGTGGAAGGCAAATTGGCTCTGGCAATTTGTGCTTTTGTGTTCAGATCACGTCCATTAGCTTTTGTAAAACACACCTGTTACAAATCTATCCAGTTTCTTTTCAACCTTTGTCGTAGTTTCAAAACGTGTCACCTGTTCAGCTTTTAAAACAACAAAAATCTCATTTTGGCGCGTAGGAATGGGGCGTAGGAGAACACCTGGAGAATATCTCATCCGCCGTTGGCCAGGCTGCCAGTCTGTCACGGCACAGCTAATAAATACATTTGGAAGCTCTTTTTTAAAAGCATTGATGAAAGCATGTTGTTGTTGTGACTCAAAAGGCATTAATTGAAAGTTGCATGATTGTTGCTGGATTGATACAACCAAAGCAGGTGAGCAGATTTGGCTAACCATCAGTTAACCGAACTAAATTAGTTTATGCATTTGACAAATTTATGACTTGTTTAAAGGATGCTTTAGTCCATAAATGCTATCGAATTTAGAAGAGATTTAAATTTAATATGTGATGAAGAAAGAGTCGCATTGAGTGATAATTCCAGTAGAAATGTTGTAGAACCACTTGGCAAGATAAACAAGAAAACCCATAAGAGTATATGACATCAGAGTAAATGACACACAGACTGAAAACACAAGCAGAATTTTAAACATCTTGTAAATTTCTCTGAATTCAGTCACTACATCACGCTGGATGTGTGATGGAGGTAATTTGGTGGAGGAGAAACCAAAAGGAGAGAGTAATATCGCAGGATGAGGGTGCAGATGTTCCTTTTTAATCACAGGGCTCTTCTGTTTTCACTGCAGTGACTTATCAAAGGCTTTTCTGAGCGATCACGAGCTTTCTGTTCAGAATGATCCAATAAGCTACAGCTGCCAGAGCCAGTGCAATGATTTTTTCCCCTCATTGATTTCATCTGTTGTTTCCACCCATACAGTGTTTATTTTTATATATAAAAAGATGCTTCTTAAAGTGAAGCCAAAGTAAAATTGTCTTAAACCTGAATTCCATCTAATAGCCAGCAGGGGGCATCTCCTCTGGTTTCAAAATGCTGTCTATGGAAGGACATCCCATCAGATCAGCAAACATGTAGTGCTTACAAAACCTATTAGACCATCACCCAGTGTGAGGTTTAATCCTCAGATGTTCTAAATTAACAGTATTGGTGATTCTCAAAATCAATTTTATGTTTTTGTAATGGTTACTCCACCAGTGTGTGCAAGCTCTTTAATCATATTCTTTCATGCTAAAATATAAGTATTGTTGTTATCCAAACATTTTCAAGTTTACTCTTTTAGAAACAGCAGAAAAACAAAGTAATGCACATTATTAGTTTTTGATTAAGATGCCAGATTTTCCATCATTTATTTGCTTTCTTGAACAGAAAAATTACTTTTGGTGGTTGTCCGCTCAGATTTGGGTGTTAAAACAAGAATTCACTTTGTTTTTTACCTGATAAATATCATTTTTATTTTAAACAGCTTTTTAAATAACTTGTGTTTTCTTGCTTTTATGACAGACGGTCTAATAAATGTACCAAACACTCGACCTGATGAGCTTATAGACTTAATCTCTTGTTTAAAGCCTTATTAAATACAGTGCAACATTCATTTTGCAAATTATGAACTTCATCGACCTTCATTCAGCTACATTCAAATCCTTCACGATGTCCTTCAACCTTTTGAGCCTGTCATCATCCACTTTTGTCATCTTCTGTGGTTTTTTTCAGCTCTTCCAGTGAATGCTTCCTTTTATTTTTAAAAGAAAATGTACTAGTTTGTTGATTTGGTCACTTCTAAAGGTTCTTTGTTTTTGTTTTGTTTTTTTCAATTGAATGATTAACGGCCTCCCTCACTTGTATGGACATCTCTTTGGGTCTCATATTGAGAGCTCCAGGAGACAGGTAGTTCCAGATCTTTTATCAACATAATTTTTATTTCTATAACGAGGTAACGGGCCTCACATGGCCATAAAACAGTCAGTCAGTAGTCAAGTTACTCACACAAAATGTGTGACTGTGTATAAAACTTCCTCAGATAAAGCCAACAAATTCCTAAAAATACCTCTAATTAATGCTAAAAGTCTTCAGTTCAATCACACCACGATTGTTTTTGTTTTCATTTAATATACACTGTGTGTGTCGAATCATGTCTGAAACAGTTTTTGTGATATATAAGACAGTGTGGAGGGAAATGATTGTGGAACTGACTGTATTGTCCTCTATCCCCAAACAGATAAGGTCTACTCCGACGCTGACTTGCAGGCTTCATCGTCAGACAGCGAGGATGAACTGATGGGTCAGTATCAGGAAGCGGTCAGCCGCTCCCAGGGCCTCAGAGGAGGAGCCAAGGTGTCCTCTAATGCCAAGCACACTGGAGGATTCAGCTGGGAGAGCCGGCAGAAGTACAGCCCGCTTACTGCTGATTATGATGGCTACAGCAGTGAAGCCTCAGCTGATGATGGTGGGTCCTCCCACATTTGACCGTCTTGTATGTTTTCCGTGTATCCACAGATTTGACACAGTGAGAAGTTCAGATATTTCCTTCATATCACCTCAGGGAGTTTTTGTTAAATGCTCACAGTCCTCTGCAGCTCTGTACCAACAAACACAAGAACACCATATGTGTAACACACACACTTACACACACTGTCAGTTAATCTAGAGAGGTGATCAAAGCGAGGCTGCCGTTCAGCACACTCTCCGTGGGAGGGTTGTGAAACAGTCAACTGTCTGTACAATGTGCACAGCCGCAGCCTCGCACTCTTCCTTCTTTTTTTATAACACGTCTATGTTTCCCTTCTGCCCGATTCGCCATCGCTGCGATTGTTCTTCACCCTTGTCGAGGTGGGTTCAGTCACAGAAGAGCGCTGGCACTGACCTCCTTGGATTAGTTTGTTCTTCATCTGACACGTTATTGGCCAAGAAGCATATCGTGTTGATTTAACGCTATACAAAAAGCCACTCTTGACTTTCTCCTCAGTAAATGTTTACCCAACTTTATGCTTAAAAAATAGCTTTGCATGGCATAAATGACAAGACTGGCTCTGCCTAAAATGAAGAGACTGTGCATGTCAACACTTACAATGGACGTTTTTTAAGCTCGTGGCTTCCTGAGGTGCTTCTTTCACCTCTATATCCAGCCTGCCATCTAACCCTGTAAGAACCATCTTACACTATGCCCCTAAATGTGCAACTAGCCCTTTAGGGAAAGCAAGTAAGCAAATGTATCTGTTGCATAGAGAAGAAAACTGTTACAAGGAATGTCAAATTCATCTAAAAGTCCCCGATTGACCTGTTTTTCCATCCTGCAGAAATATATCGGCAGTGCTGTTGTTGCCTGTTTTCGTCACACCCAGACAGGAATGCTTGTGTCTGACAGTATTTTTCAAAGACAAAAACAATCTAGTCTTTGCCAGGGTCCTTGATTGGTGAATCACGTCTGAACCAGTTTTTGTGTTATATAAGACAGTGGGTTCAAGTGCCGGGTGTCTGGCACAGTCTATTTAAAGCCGCGTTTGAATGCGTAGCTGGGGGAGAAGTAGTACATGGCGTGCTTCTGACTCCATTAGCAGAGAGGCAACGGGCTGCACAAGGTTGTTGTTGAAGAAAAGCAGAGCGTCTCCTGATATCCAATAGATGGTCTCTGTTATCTTCAGATGATGCTTTGAATTCTTAGGTCAGAAAATAGAAAATAATCCCACATGGGGAAATGAGTGCTATTCAGTAATATTATACTCCAGGATTTTCAGGTAACTCTTACTAGCAAAACTTTAGAATGAATTTATATTTAATCTGCCTTCATTTAGAGACACGAAGGAGCCAACTAGAGAATATTGTCCCAAAGGTAATCATTGAAATCTGAATTTTGTTTCTGGTGCCTCAAATGTAAATGTCAGTGCAGTATTTCCTTTGCAGCTGTGATGCTTTAAAGCTTACTTTGAAAATACTGCACTACATGCACTACATGTACTCACTGGCCACATACACCTTGCTAATACTGCGCCTTAACTCTTCATAGTTCAAATTCAAAGATGCGCTGAAAACATTCCTCTAAGATTGACACGATAGCATCACACAGTTGCTGCACATGTGTTGACTTCACATCCATGATCTCCTCTTCCACCACATCCAAGTGCTGCTCTATTTGATTGAGGTCTGGTGACTGTGGAGGCCATTAGAGTACAGTGAACTCACTGTCATGTTCAAGAAGCCAAGTTTGAGATGGTTTCAGCTTTGTGACGTGACCTGTTATCAGAAAATGATTACACTGTGCTCATAAAGGAGTGACAATAATCAGGGAGGCTGTAGACTCGAACAATGCTCAGTTGGTTCTAAGGAGCCCAAAGTGTCAGGACAATGTCCGCCACTCTCCACTTTGCCTCCCAGCCATTCTCTACCTGCTCAGCCATGTCTACGCCCACCTGGACAAGCTGACGTGCACTGTGGGAATCATGTTTTTTGAACTTCTCCAGTGCTTTCAGGCCAGCTCTACTGGTGATAAATTGACAGTGATGCAGGTGGATGCCTCCCTAGTGACCTGGATAGTTTGCTAAGTGACTGGCAGACCACAGTATGTGCGCCTGCAGCACTGTGTGTCGGACAGTAAGTGTAGTAAGCGATACGGGATCCCTGCGGGGCACTGTCCCCTCTCCCTCATCTTCCCCTTTTACACCATGGACTTTAACTCCTGCATTGAGGCCTGACACCTTCAAAAGTTTTCTGATAACTCAGCCACAGTGGGCTGTATCAGGCTGTGGTGGGTAACTTTGTTATGTGATGCAGGCAAAAGCATCTGCAGCTTAACTTGGGCAAACTGTATGTGGATGAGAACACCGCTGGCTCCTGTTTGCATTTATGGGGTCTGGGTGGAGACAGTGGAAGATTACAGGTGTCTTGGTGTTCACAATGACAGTAAAATAAACTTCATTAAAAACACAGAAGTGCTCTCCAAAAACTTATCAACTTATGAGACGACAGAGGTCGTTTAATATCTCCCCGATGATGCTCACAGTGTTGTATGAGCCTATGGTGGCCTGTGCCATCATCTGTACTTTGGTGTGCTGAGGCAGCAGGTACCAGCAGACTCAATAAACTTACCCACAAGGTCAGTCATGCTGTGGGTGTGGAGCTTTTAGCGTCTTTGTTTCACTTATTATTTAGTAGAGAAAGTTTACATCCATCCATCTTCTTCCGCTTTATCCGGGGCCGGGTCACACCAAGCCGTACCCAGGCCAGCCGAGAGATAT